AGATTTTAGTTAGTTCAATTACTAGTTAATTCATTTGTAATTTCACAACTAGGAACAACTGAAATTGCAAACTGTTATTTGTTTGAACTATTAAACAAAGGCTTAAACATCTTACTGCTAAAAGTATCTATGTTCATATGAAGTCTTGAATTAGTTCTGTAATATCATACCTAAAGCTCATTATACATTAGAAACCAATATTTGCAGATTATAGCTAATTTGAGTAAACATTTATTATAACTAACTTTATTTTATTAAGGATCTCGTTATATTATCGAGTTACATATCCTAGTCAGTATTCATTGAATTAATAGTCGAAATGATCGGTCTAAACAGAAGTTTAGACAGCTTATGACTCGTATGAATTCTTAAGTTTTCAGTATTGAGTAATCAGACGGTAAGATTAAAAGTTCTTGTGTAATTTATATTACAGACTTTCCTTAACTGGATGAGCATTAGAAACGACGAAGCACTGGATATCTATTTTGTCCAGACATGAAACTCCCAAATCCGCGGTCACATTGAAGACTGAATTCGGGACCTAAAGGTGTCTGGACAAGATCTTAACCTCTAAACTGCTGAGTGTATTCGTGAATGTGCACTACTGATGAGCCCCGTACCAGAATGAAACAGCTATCTAGTGTTTCCTGATTATCATTAGTTATGTGGCCAAGGTTAGTCTGCGGTGTAAACTACAAAATTCAGTTGCGCTAAAACGTAGTTCACCACTCTCCACATCTAAATGACGCCAGTTAGTGATGAATCTAACCTAGAGCATTCATTATCGTGTACGAACGCTCAAGCTCTAGACAACTGACCCGGAATCTACTTGTGGACAAGTCTAAATTTAATTGATATTTCTAGAAAAACAAATTACAGTCATCGAATATCATTGTTAGAATACTGAAGATGCAACACTACACCTTCTGCAAAACAGATCATTTTATATGTTGTATTCATTTTTAGAAATTTACTAAGAATAAATCAAGATAGAAAGTGAAACACGATACGTATCTGTGGATTTGTAACACATCTGTCCCTAAATGTTTAATATGTATGAGATTTACAGTATTTTAGATCACTTTGCTGTTCATTTATGAGGTTAGTGATATATTTGAGAGCATAATTTTCACCGAAAACGTCATTTCAAGTACCAACTTTTATTCTATATACTTATTCAATTCAGCAAGTTGGATTGAACTACAATGGCAAGTTCACAGAAAATTTATTTAGATTAAAATGAAGTTCTTAATGAAGAGCATGTTCTTATATACACCACTCATCCTCTAAACAAACAAAATAATACTCGACAATATTAAATATTGCATGTGTATTGAACGTTGAAAAAAATTAGTTAACCTGATACTAAAAATGGTCCACCAGGGTGCTTGGTACCTGTATGGTTGCGCCACAGGATTGAGCTGTACTATTCAGATTGTAGCGTTAAAGCCTGTACGGTGTCTGGTTTCCCTGCTAAACGAGGTTGAGCTGTACTGTTTGGGTTTTTACGTGAAAGTCCGGATGGTGTCTGGTTCTCCTGAAAACCAATGTAAAATTACCCTGGCCCACAAGGGTATATTATATAACTATAGTATAGTACTATAGTATATACTATAGTATATATACTAAAAAATCGTTTCCATTTTTATTTTTATCAGAAGGGGTATTATGTAGATTTTAGTAATTTCAATAGTTGAGATCATGAATCAATTGAAGCTAAATCACCATGGAAATCCTGAAAATACTGGACGACCGTTTCGTCCTTGTATGGGACTCCTCAGTGGCAGTGAGCATCTACGATCCCGCTCCCCCACGAGATTCGAAACCAGGACCTATCAGTCTAGCGCGCGAGCGCTTAACTTCTACACCACTGAGCCGGCATCCAACTTTTATTTTTACTAAATTTTCTACCTTATCTAAATTCATAAAATATGCTAGTAAATAAATGATGTTTCTTGAATTTTCTAATTTGGCAAAAATAAAAAAATGTCTAGACATTTTGACAGGCAATAAAGTAATTTGATGATTTTAAGCTACTCTACAAAATTATTTATAAATACAATTTTTAGTAAGTATATTTATTCTTTGCCAAATATTATTAGACTTTATTTAATACATATAATTTTATTTGTGCCCATTGATCGATATAATATGATGGTTTTTACCAGTATTACTAGTCGATTTATTGTTTGATGTACATTTGATTGTTCCTTTCAATAATTTGTTAGCACACTGTAAATGATAAGAAATTATGTTTTAAAAATCAATTGATACCTAATGGTTGAATTCATAAGTCAATTGAAGCTAGACTATCATGGAAAACCTGAAAGCACCAGAAGGTCATTTCGTCCCAATATGGGACTCCCCAGTGTTAGTGCGCATCCAAGATCCCGAATCCCGCTAGATTCGAACCCAGGACCTATCGGTCTCGCGCGCGAACATTTAACCTCTGGACCACTGAGCCAGCATTCAGTGGTGTTGATGTATCACTTCGGCCAATTCACGAAATGGCTGTTCAGTGCTTCCAGGTTTTCCGTGGTGGTCTAACTTTTATTGACTTATGAATTCAACTATTGAAATTACTAAAATATCCACAAAACGCCCTTCTGATAATAATATCTAATGGAAAACCACTTATTGTGTGTGTCATACGAAAATATTTATCATCATTCTTTACTTATATAGTAAGTAATTGATAAACATGTGATATCTAATGGTGTTGACTAAAACGACAAGCTAATTAAATTTTCAATCATGTTTAACATATTTCACACTTGTAATATCGTTGTCAACTAACTAATTCATTAATCATATTGATTATTATCTGATTGGAAATAGTTATTTAATTTACTAATCAGTAATGGTGAATCAGTTTTGAAAATTTAATTAATCAACATTGAGTTTATTTCACAAAATGATACGATAAATGGCAGACACTATAGGTGATATTATGATTCGTCAACTTCACTATCATATCTGTCTTATTCACTTGATATTGTTTTTACTTGAATCTTCCCATTGATGTTTTAGGGCTGAAATTGATCAGTCTCTTATTGGCATATGGCTATCAGGACTCAGTAGCTCAGTGGATAACGCGATGGCGTTTGAAACGAACGGTGCTGAGTTCGAGTCCCAGAGTGAACATCAACTCTGAGATGCAGGTACATCCAGCTGACGAGTCCCAAACAGGACGAAACGCGCGTCCTGGATTCCACTGCTAGCCACTATCCATCTTTGCTTATAATATCTGTTTTATGTTTATGGTTAATGTAATCATTCTTGAATCTATATAACTTACTTTCATTATTGGATTGACTAAGAATATGAAGAGCATGGAATTAGTTGGAAAACTCAAAATTTTCAAATATTTGTAATAATTTACTCAAGCGGTTACTTTATTATAAAAATCCCTGAAACTTGAAGTTAACCATAATATCCAAGCTATAACTCTCAAGGACAACCTTAGTACTGTTAGGTTTTTTTATTGTCGGTTAAGAATAAAGATTGTTTCTGTTGAACATTTAATAAAGCTAATATAATATATAAGTGTATCAATGATCAAGAATGATTTCCAGTTTGTATTATTAAAATATTCAACGAAATTTATGTAAACCTGTTTCCCTCCACAGATTACAATACAAAAAAAGCATCCTCAAAATAGATTATAACAAAATTACAAGATTTAGGATTGAGTATATCGTTTGAACTGTTTAAATAATTTGTTTTCTTATTTTACCTAGTTTAATAATTACATTGTATCTATTCTGTGGCATATTTGTTTATTAGTATAAAACATTACGATTATTTTTATAGATTACTGACATTCTTCACTTCCTAAAAGAAAAAGAAATTTTCTTGACTATCCAAGCTGAAGCAAACATTTTCTTTCACAAGTTTTAATAGTACTATTTAAACGCGTTAATTTAGTTTGTTTATTTAATAACTCTGAAGAAGTGTCTTACATTAAGTCACAAAACATCAGCAATACTATTTCTCAATGGTTAAGATCATGAGTCAGTTGAAGCTAGACCACCATGGGAAACCTGAGAGCACTGGATGGCCGTTTTGTCCCATTGTGGGACTCTACAGCAGTGCGCACCAGCGACCTCGCTCCCGCGAGATTCGAACCCAGGATCTACTGGTTTCGCGCGTGAGCGCCTAACTACTAAACCACTGAGCCGGTATCCAACGGTGTTAATGTCTAACTTCAACTAATCCAAGAAAATGAGCGACACATTCACCATTGTCTTCAGTGAGTTACTATCTTACAACAGACCTGGTTGAACCCAACCATTGACTTCGTCTCACTATAACTCCAGGATATGTTGAATAATATCAGATGGGTTTTGTGAAGATTGTATTAATTCCAATGGTTAAAATCATGAGTCAGTTGGAGCTAGACCACCATGAAAAACCTGGAAACACTGGACGGCTATAACTTGACGGATATAACAAAAAAACACTATTATTAACTCTCTATCAAATGTTCAATTTATTTGAAACTATCAAATCTAACCTTCATATTGATACCTATAGACATGTTTTTTTTATTAACAATTCAATGAACTACTTTTTATCTTATTAGTAAATAGAGTTAAACATTCAGGTATGATATGAATGTCATTCTATCGTTACCATAAATTTAGAATACATTTATTTAATTACTAGTAATTTCAATAGTTGGAATCATTAGTCAATTGAAGCTAGACAACCATGGAAAACATGGAAGCACTAGACGGCCGTTTCGTCCTAGTATGTGACTCCTCGACAGTGAGCATCCACGGTTCCGCCGCCCTTCGCAAGATTCGAACCCAGGACCTATCAGTCTCTCACGCTGAGGATTCCGATACTAGGACGAAACGTCCGTTCATTGCTTCCAGGTTTCCCATGGTAGTCTAGCTTCATTTGACTAATGATTTCAACCATTAATTACTAGTGCTTAAAACAATGATTTTTTGAAGGGGCTAATTTTCAACTGATTTTTAATTTATTCACTCCAGTTTTACGATATGGAATACAATAATGGGTACATCGATTTTGGTAATGCCATGGGCTATACAACAAGTAAGTTATTTATATTTAATTCAATAATAGTACAATGAAATAAATGTATATTTTTTTCAATAATATCGGTAGTTTTACCGGTAGGTGGGTTTGTTTACAATAATAAGTAAAATTTGTAAAGTTTTCTTGTATTATATAATCCAAAATTAGTTTCCATTATTGGTTAATTTTAAATAGACAATCATTGAAAATAAAAAGTGTTTGTTAGAGTTAATTCATGCTGTAAACTGTCCTTTTAACAAAACTTATATTTAGGTAATAATTATGTGCTTACTAGTGAGAAGATTTCTGAACATCATATCATGAAACTGTGATCCATGAAGTTCATCCTTGTTTGGCGTCAGACAATAAACAATTTCTGCTATAAGTCACTAATGAACTGAAGTTAAAAATCTAATACACTAAACAATATACAAGTGATCACATGTCAATGTGCTCATATCAGAGCTAAAATACCCTCATTTTCACTCTAGGAGGTTTCATGAGTAAACTTATATGTTTTCCAATGGTTGTTAGTTTATACTGTCAACCAATTTTCAAACGAATATTATTGAAATGTTCCAATATCACCAGTTATGTGGATTCAGCTTCCTCATTTTACACAAATGATGATGATTATATAAATTATTTATCAGCCTACAAGTTGATATTGTTATACGACATGCATAGTACTTTTCCAGTCATGCACCATTAATACTAAATTTTGTACCATATATCTTTTAACAAACGAGCCATCAATTATAATTGTTGTGTCCCTATAACGAAACCTTCAGCTGAATTCTGGGAGTCAAAACTGTTATTAGGAACGAAGGTTGATCACAATCGATTGATCACTGGGTGGTGTTCAATGTTATGTGTCTCAAGTCCTTATTAGTGCAGATTCAATGCTATCGACCATGTTGCAATGTGGCAACCATTTTAAGTGACTCGAAACTGCGTGCACTATGTTGAGATTAGATGGTTGTTGTAGGTAATCGACAGGAAACGCAGTGTTGAGTCACCTAGACTGGTGGCCACATTGCAACATGGTCGATAGCATTGGATCTGCACTAATAAGGACTTGACAAACATGACATGGATCACCACCCGACGATCAATCAATTGTGATTACATCTCAGTCCTACAGGAGGTCGGTCGCGGCCCTGAGAGCTCAGTAGTAACGTCTCTGTGAAGCTGGGTGACACGGGTTCGAATCCGTCAGGGAGCATCATTTCCCTCAAGATTACAAGTACACCTTGCTGAAGAATTCCAAGTAACACGAAACCCGGGTCCAGGGTTTTTTGTTGACTACCTCCAACCACCATCTAACGTCGGTTGATGTATTGAGGTAGTCAGAAACTGACCAAATTATAAGCACATTTAATTGACCAAGGAATCGTCTCTGTTCCTAGGAGATAAGACTCACTATGTATATAACATTGCTCCCTAAACTTCAAACTCTTATCTTAGAAAGAGTACTAAAGAGTTTTGGTATTACCTGACTTTACACCGATTTAATAGAGAAAAAGATTGAATGAATTCTAATTATTGAACTTCCTGCGAAAAATTTGCACCTAATGCAAATTTAGTCACTCTTTAATAATACCATCTTTGATTACTCTTTCATTATTTGTGTTACTCTTGTTAATATATTTTTCCCTTCATCAAAGTTTAATTAATTTAAGATTAATATGATAACTATGTAATAACACATACATTCATAGCCTTTTTTCCACATATTTGATCGCCATTTTTCTTTGACGTTAAACTTTATTCAGCATTGGTAAACTTAATGTGAATTACCATTGTTAACAGAAATAACTATCCTGGATAAGACAATAGCTATTTTTACTGTATAAATTCATAACAAGAACTGCTTATGGTCGAATTGTATTGAATGAGAACGGGACAATCGAATGTATTTGAATTCAAAATTGCAGAATATCTTAGTAAAATCTAAGAGCCACACAATAAATTATTCATTTGCAAAATGTTAATCAATCGTCTCAGAATTGATCGTTCCTCCATCTTCACACTAATCATTCTCTCTTCTCGTTTTCTTTTCTTTAATCTTCTTAACCTTCTGCATTTTATTTTCAATTGATAACATCTACTACTTATATCTGTTGACATCAGTAGTATAAACCACAAAATATTATTTTGAATAATTTACATAAACTAATAAAGTAGACAAGTGGTCTATGTTTCATCGATTCCATATAATTCACTATCTACTGATTATTTTCTTATGAAGTAAAACTTAACTTTTTCAGTTTGTTTGTTTTTCTTATTATTTTTTGTATGGAATTTTACTGAAAATATTATCAAATCACATAATACGTTAACTCAATAGACAGATATGACTATCACTAAGAAAAATATGTATTATTGTATACTGAATGAATTTATAAGTAGTAAATAACAACATATTTCAATGTGATCAATCTAATTTAGTTTTGCAATTAACAGGTATGTTGATAATAGTAATAATAGTAATAATAATAGTAATAATAATAAAAGTAGAGATTAAGAGAGAGTGAGTGAGAGAAATGAAAAACCATCGGTTTGTCACAATTAAATGATTTTATTATTATTATTGTTTTTTTATTATCATTTATTTTTCAATAGGCTGGTTTCGCTTTGGGTACATTTTTAATTATATTTGTCGCATTCATTGCTTGGTATTGTGGTTATCTTGTATTGAAAGCAACAGAAGATTTGAAAAGTATGTAATATTTTTAATGATTATCATTGTTATTTTTACATAGATGTAAATTGTTTTTTTTGTTTCTTTAAATTTTTAATAAGGAGCATTTTATGATATAGATTTTGAGATGGTGGAGAACATTTGTAGCTCAGATGATTGATTTTGGTGGAGTTTTGTTCTCGACTAAACCATCCAGCTCAGAGAACAGAACTTCACCAAAACAATATAGATTTTTATGAGGTATATATGTGAATATTGTAGAATAGAAACCTAAAGCATATCAATCAAATTGTTCAGGGATGAAAGATTGAATAACATAAAAATAACTTTGGTTATAATTTGTTATTAACATTTACCCTCGTATTAATGAATAGTTTTAAACATCTTTCCCCATTTTTTTGCACTCGAATTTGTCGCCCTGTAATATTAATCATTTTAAAAATAGTACAATCGGTTATTATTGTTTGAAGATGAATATAGAAGTCAGTAATTTGTGTAGTGATCACCTTAACATTATTAATGAACTCAATTAATCATGCCATCAGTCATTCACATTCAAGTTTAATTATCGTTAAAGTCAGAAATAATTTGTACCTTAAATGTGTTACATTTTTGAAATATTTTAGTAAAAAATTATTCACCCAAACATCATGAGCGTTACATTTTTGTCATTTTAATGACAAAATACTAAAGCTTCACGTTGTGTATAATTCGAACAATACATGGAGACAAAAAAGATTGATCATTGATTTTTTATGTACATATAAAAGTATTAAACTAATCAAGACAACTTATGAGTCAATGGTCACAATGAAATGGATTGCATAACCACCCATTATAGATAAAATAAACAAGTTGGTAGTAAGAAGACAGGTCTACTAGAATTGACAAAAAAATAATAAGGTTCAAATTAATAGTTCAATATAGGAAGAAGGTCGTACGTGGATAAAGAAACTTTAAAACAATCTCCATAAAAGATTACTAAACCGCGTAGTAAAATGTGTGTAAATAATTAGACTGTAAAGGTTAAAAAAAATGACGAACAAGTTCTGGATGTGAAAAAATTCAGTAAATTAATTTGTTACGTGATATTCGGCCAAGAAAGAGACAGAGGTTTCACGAATGTATTTTGAACACATAAACTAGGGTTATAGGTTCGGATCTCCATAAATTATGTTGTATATACAAAGTGATGTTCAGACCCACTAGGCACTGACGAAGGTATATGATAGATTACTCGGAATGATTCAGCTTTATGTACCGTATGACTACCATCAACCAGGTGCGGCAAGAAAGAGCCCATATATATGGCGCTTCTACTGTCAATTTTTTTTTATGTTTGCCAAAACCTTTCTGAAGTATTTCGGTCCCTTCGAAATCGATCATGTTAACTGTTTCTAACGCATATAACTCTATTGCCGACCATTTCTCAAGTTTCTTCAGATCAATTGAGGATTTGGGAACATTTTTAAACCTTGTTTGTATTCCTCCAACCCACATAAGCTGCATTACAATCATGACAGTTGGTCTCATAGACAAAATTCTGTTGTTATTCCTTTGAAAAATTATCCTTAATTTTCACTAATGCTGATCTTATGGCATAACTAGCAAGAAAATGCACCCTTATATTATGTTTGTTTAGAATCCGCTCAATTGCTTCGTATTTTTCCTACAGTATGGTATATACTGGTATGGTATATACAGTATGGTATATACTCTAATTTAATTTTCTTTCATTTGTCATAATCTTTAAAAACTCTCTGTAGTAATTGTTAGACAATATTCCATCTAATTCAACCTGTTGATAATCCTTCTCTGTAATGAGATTAATATTTCTGTTAATTATTTTTTTACAACTGTGAACCACAATCTAAGTATATTTCAGAATGTGTTGATTTCATAAATATATTTACATTTAACTTATTATTGTCTTCTTTCAACCAATCAATCGACAAACGCTAGATTGTGGTCAATGAACTCTATTTCCTTGATTAGCTTAATGTCAATATCTAAATATGATTGGATCAGCACAGTAACCATTTGATTTGTTTATTAAACACCATATATTCTTTGATAATTTTGATTTTGATTATTATTCTGAAGAAGTTCAGACAAGTTTGATGAACGAAACGTTGAAATCATTTAAATTCAATAACTAATACTACTTTAATTATAATTTTCACAAACAAAGCAAAATGACTTAACTGAGTACAGATCAGATAAGAATTCAGAATTACTACCATAGAAAATAATTTATGAATGAGGTCACCATTATTAATTCTCACTTCTTATCTAATCTGTTCTCAGTTAATCAATTACATTTTATCTAATATTTTAAAGATTACATAAGTATAACGATAATATTATATGCAATGATGGATAGTGGCTAACAATGAAATCTAGGACATGCGTTTCGTCCTATTTACGCTCTTATTCCAGAATAGTTATATATTCAGTCTATGAATATTAGCATAGAAACATTAATTATAATTCTTCCATATGTTTGTAAATGTCTAAATAAAATACAGTTTTGATATTTATTATTTACTATTCTATTATGTAAACATAAATATTCGGTCATTCATAATCTTTATTTCTGATTTGACCTTGGTGAAAAGAAAAAGAAAAAACAGATCCAACAAGTGTTAGTTATTAATGTTCTCCCATTTCATTAATGAGCTTTTAAAGCTTTTCATATTCATTTATTGATAATAAAAAAATGCCTAGTATGGTAGACACATGATCTACAGGTTTATGACAGATTTCAACGTAAGGTTAAGCAAATAATATAGATTGTTATTACAAAGTATTGTGAAGATCGTAGAATCTAAAATTTCAAACCACAAACTAATCTTGGTTAAACAATCATTGAAAAATAACCAGAACTAGATAGCTTTTCTGTCAATATAGGATTTCTCAGCAATAAGTATCCATGATCTTGCCATAGATTGAGTCTTGAATCTTCACATCAAGTGGAAAGTGCATAATGACCTGACATTCAATGGCTTACATTCATAAATAAAATCAATTCGTTGATATTGGTGTGTTACCATCATCTAAAATCAGTTCGTCACTTGAAATGTCAAATAAATGAATTGTTAATTATTCATAGTGATAATTAATGGATTACGCTTTGTGTAGTAAATGTAAAACTGTTAATTCCTGAACTTCTTACCACTCTATAGTAAAGTGGCTGGCAGATCTCCTAGAACTCGTAAGAAAACGCATTTGTAGACATTCCGTACATGATACTTTTGAATTTATTGAACACACAAAATAAGTTAATGTAAATGACAAAATAACGCTATCTCTGGAGGTTGAATCACTATTCACTAATGTTCCACTTACAGAGATCACCAGTTAACATCAGAATACCGTAAGTTCATTTGAAGGAACTACTGCTACGTTGCACTTGCAATGTACAGTTTATATTCAACGACGTTGTTTATAGATAAAAGGATGGCATAGTAATGGGACCCTCTCTTGGTCAATTATCAGCAGATTGCTTCATGACCAGTCTATAAAACGATCAACACAAAACGACTATAGAAAACTTCCACCTGTATAAAAGGTGCGTAGATGATATCCTTATCATCTGTGACAACAAATATGACTTGAGTCATCTTTCAAAGACATTTTTAAATGTCACACAGTAATAAATTTCACACTTGAAGTTGAAAGCAAACAAAATATTCACTTTCTTGATGCGGAAATGACAAAAAAACAATGCGGAACTCCAAGAAGATCTATCTACAGGAAACCCATGTGGAATGGTCAACTACGCGAATACAAAGAATTTGTAGTCCTGAGGTCATAGATGACGAACTGGGACTCTCGAAGGAAATACTTCCATATTCATTGACAAGAGCATAGAACCGAAACCGCCAAAAACACAAACAACTTCAGTCGAAAAGAAAACATCATACATGAACATCGACGTTAATGGTGAAAGAGCCATAAAGGTCTTAAAGAGAAGTTCTCATTCTTTAAAAAGAACGTTCTACGCAGCAACGTTGCGAACAGTATTCTCCAGCCGATCATTATTCATCAATAATATTAAGGATAAATTATCTCATTTGACCAACTCAATGTGCATTTATCAATTACCTGCTCACGTGGAACTAGATATACAGGTTGTTCGATGCGTACATTTTCCAAGAGGATTCAAGAACATTATCCCGTGTGGCTAAGAAGAAGAGGAAACGGCTCAATGAGAAGTTTAATAATCGAACACCCTGTGAACGAAGGTCATTCAATCAAGATGAACTGTGCGTTCAAAATCATCTACAAGGTAATTTGAAGACTTCCAAAGGCAGTCATATTGCATCTTCTTAGCATAGCCTAAGCAATAGCCATAAATCTGGGAAAACCAGAATTGTTTGTTCAAAAGAGATTGGTAAAACCTCTCCTTCGACCATGGTCTTAATGTCTTTTAATATTTTTAATTTTTCTCTTCACACTCTTCTTCCTTTGTAGCCATCTGCTTCCCCTTCCATCTTCTCCTCAAACCTTCTACCCCCAACTGGTTTATTTCTGTTTCTATGATTTTTTTGACTACATTTAATCTCAATGCCAACATTTTATCTTATTATGTTGAGCCATCCTTTCCCAATGATCATTTCCCTATCTATCTATCGATGAATATTTAAGCCATTAACAGTCAAACGATTATTAGTTTCAATAGTTGAGATCATGAGTCAATCGAAGCTAGAGCACCATGGAAAACCTGGAAGCACTGGGCCGCAGTTTAATCCTATTGTGAGATTCCTCGGCAGTGCGCATTCACGACCCCATCTCGTGGGATTCGAACCCAGGACCCATCAGTTTCAAGCTCGAGCGCTTAATCATTAACAGAAGTTTATTATCATTATTATTGTAATCACTATCCTGAAGAAAAAACATAAGTATATATATTTGCGATTGTACAGCCTTTAAAAATGAATTCACCGAAAAGAGAACACTTCGCTGAACCAATCTTTCTTATATAATGTAAAACTATTTCTCATTTAACCATTCACTATGGTCACTAATTTATAAAATATATATAATAATAAATTAATAGAATGTTAAACATGATAAATGTTTTAAATTGTTTGTTAAAACACCAGCCTATATTGATTATTTTATTTATCTATACGATTATAAGAGACTAATTAACTGAACAAAAATGTTATTCACTATCGATGTTTAGATTATCATATTTTGATTTTCCAATATATGAAACATTGGAAATGACTATAAATGAATGTTAAATCGGTATCAATGTCAAAGTTGAACTTCATAGTTTCAAATTCATTGAGTATATGCTAGAGTGACTTACATTAGATCATAAAACGTCAGAAACACAATTTTTTCTACTTATTGGAATACAACAAAACTATGTTTTTTTTAATGGTTGAAATCATGAGACATCTGAAACTAGACCACCATGGAAAACCTGGAAGCACTGGATGGCAGTTTCGTTCAACTGTTGAACTCTTTAGTATTGTATAGATTCGAACCCATGGTGGTCTAGATTCAATTGACTCATGTTCTGAACCATTGAAATTACTATAACATCTACATAAACCCTTCTGAACTAAAAATATCTCTATTGTTAATTCGGATTGTATTATTATGCTTGTACAAAGATATGAAGTCCTGATAATCTACTTTTATAATTGCTCTTTGATGAGCTAATAATGTTTATTTATATAGGAAATGCCTTTATTGACAATTTCCTGTTGAGGATAAAATTCGGATTATTTAACTTTGCATAATGTATGACAAAAGATTTCTTTAATCTTATAGATTCCTGATAGCCTATTTTAACTTTAAATGTTAGTTATGTAGAAATAAGTGATATGTTATCTTTTTGTATCTCTTTCATACTTTCATGGCTTTAACATAAAAATTTTCGTCACTATTCATCTTTTTTGATAACATGAAGTTAATTTGACATTAAACCCTAAAAACTAGTGACCGATAAACATTATCACATATCATTTATACCGGAATGCATCTTCACTATATTCAACGACAGTATATCGTTTTCTGAATTAGCTTTCATTGAAGCGTATCTACAAATGGAAATGTCAACTCAATCTTGTAAGCTATTCTCAACCAAGACGTTGATGATCAATCCTGCATACATGACTACCATAAGCAGTTGATAATTTCTTCAGGCATATTACAAAATTTCACATAAAATAAGTCTTACACATTGTTGGATCCGCAGCATAGGTAAACTAGATTCTTTCAGTTGGCAGATCAGAAACTGAATATGAAGGAAGAATTTTAGAAGTATTTTGGGGTAATAAAGTATTTGTGAGTTTCTACCATGTTATCACAAATGTCAACCATTCCTATGGATTATGAAATATATTGTATTTGTCTTTGAAGAAAAGAGGCACCATCCAAAATTTGGAGATATTCAAACCAATAAGAAATGATATATATTTTTAAGTGGTTATATAATCAATAAAATACTTGTTTCACTCCTACTGATATTCTTCAAAAAAATAAAGGAGGGATAAATAAACTAGATGTTTCCAATCAAAGAGTTTAATTAAATAGTCGGTGGTCGTCGTTTCTGTCTTATGAAAGAATACGAACTCCTATTAGACATTTTTGGCTCTCGAAATGTGGCTTCAGAATACCCAATGGATTAATTCGCAGACAGACACTAAGATATTTTATGAATATCCAAGTATTTCTCAAAATATTATATTAAAATCGTTAATTTTACTTCCGACGAAGTTACTTTGTGATACAGTTTTCACTTTGTTTAAAAACATTTAGTCAGAATGGTTTCTGAACTTACATCATCAATTATATATTCTTAGAGATCAAATTTAGAAAAGCTATGTATCACACGTTGTTGAATGGTGGTTAGGAGTGGAATTTAAGACGAACTTTTCGTCGTATTAGGTTTTAGGCATACGAATATACCTGATTTCTAGTGTTGATGTTCATACCGAGATTCAAACCCAGTATATTTCGCTTCAGACTCCAACAAGTTATTTACTAGTCTGTTGAATATCATATTACATTTTTGAAGTAAATTAGATCAGTCGATTTCCTACTTTGATTTATTTTTTGATTCTTCAGTGCTTGATATTCACTTTATATTATTTAATACTTTCCACGTTATTATATATTTGTCTGATAAAATTATATTTTAAACATAGTTCCATCAATAACTATCGTAAATTAATAATTAAATGCATATTTTCATAGTCCAAACAAAGAGCTGATCTTATCTAGGCAACCACTGAAGACCAGAAGGTACTGGACACCAGTTTCGTCCAGCGGTGCGTGTCCATGACCCCACCACAAGGAATGAAGCGCATTAGCTTCACAAACACCTAACTTCAAAAATACCGAGTCAACATCTAACAGTGTTATTGTCTAGATTCACTCAATTTAAGATACAGATCAACAATGTACGATTACCCAGATTGTTAATAATTTTGTTATTACTTTGTTGTTTTTTTCATTCTAGTTATACAAAATACTCGTTCATCTGCCGACATGGAGTTTACAGACGTATGTCAATATCATTTAGGAAAACCTGGTTACATTTTGGCAATCTCATTTTCTATGTTAGCTCTTTTTGGTGCAATTATAGTCTATTATGTTTTAATGTGTAATTTCCTATATTACACTGGGGATTTTATTTACAGTAAGTTGACTGTGGGTATTTTGTTTTCGTCCCAACTTTTGTACTCTACGTAGGTCATATTCTTATAGATACTTCCTCTTAAAATGTATTTCTACCTTAGTGATAATGTTCCAAACATGTTTATATCATTGGAAACGATGCATACGTTTCTTACGTTCATATTTTATTTAAGTGTTTATTCAGACAATTTGTCTATATAAATTTATTTTATAATTTGGAATCAATCAAGTAATCTTATGATGTAATCAACAAGATTTTGCTTTGAAGTAAACTTATTACCACAGTTATGTTAGAAATGGTAATATATCTTTTCATACATTTTTCGACGATTTTAAAGGTCACAGATTGAAATCATGAGTCAGTTGAAACTAGACCACCATTGAAAACCTGGAAGCACTGGACGGCCGTTTCGTCCTAGTATGGGACTCCTCAGCAGTGCGCATCCACAACCCCGCACCACGCGGGGCTCGAACCCAGGACCTACTGGCTTCGCGCGCGAGCACTTAACCACTAGACCACTGAGCCGGCATCCAACGGTGTTAATGTCTAACTTCAACTGACTCATGATTTCAATCTGTGAAATTTCGAAAATCTCCACAAAACCCATTCTGATTTTAAAGGTAACATATAACTGACTTCTTGGAGTATATTACACCAAAATGGTGTTTGAATCAATAATACTTTCTGTTAAATATTAAAAGGTAAACAAATTTAAACAAGTAAAACAGGGTATTTTGTATTGTTCAAGATGCTTTTATTATCAGGAATGTTAAGTTGTTATTATAAAATTATTACTACTACAGATTTAACATTAAATCATATGAACTCTCAATAATTAAAAATTCATGTAAATACATTGAATAATGGAATTAAATCTTTATTATACTGGGAATAACTTTGAATTATATTTCACTGTTTCTTTGACAGTCGATTTCTACAACGGTTAGATTTATTAAGTTTCCGTTATACCATTATTGCAGTCTTACAAAACGCTTGTGAATTAAGTAAATATCGGGGCAATCCGCACAGTATGCACATATGCCAATAACAGACTGATCAATTGCAGTCTTAAACCTCGATGGGAAGATACAAGCCAAAGAATACCAAGTGAATTTAAATTCACTTCATTGCACAAGAAAGTAGCTATCAGGACTCAGTAGCTGAGTGGATAACGTGATGGCGTTTGAAGCGATTGGTACTGGGTTCGAGTCTCAGACTGGACATCAACTCTGAGATGAAGGTACATCCAGCTGATGAGTCCCAAATAGGGCGAAACGCGCGTCTTGGATTCCACGGCTAGCCACTATCCATCATTCCTTACAAATAGTTTCCAAAATGTTTATATTCAACACTATACTATCTAGAAAGTAACAGATTACAGGTTAACGAACAATATATATGATTATAGGTGTCATTATCAAGGTTTAACTTGATAATTTCAAATAAATTGAGCAATAAGATATTTGTAATATCACAATGAGTAGAAAAATTCAGTTTTTAAATTTTCAGACGTTTCGTAAATCAGTATAAGTCGCTTCTTCAGAAAGTAAAGAAATAAACAGAGAAAACTAATCCAAGTTTAAATGGTACAAAGGAGCAAAGCAAGAATATTAAATATGATCAATTCAATACCATGTCATTCCGGTTATGGTGATTTATATGAGGCATATTTGTATATTTGTGCGTGTCTGTGTATAGTAAAGGATGAAAAAATGTGACATTTGTATTGCGAAAGAATGGAGATGAGTTTCTACGTACGATAATGGTGTGAGATGCGAATAAAATCAAGCATAGTAGCTCGGATAGATGGTCGAAGTTGGATGGATAATGAGGTCTTGTTTTCTATTGAGGGCAATAGAATTAAGCAATATATGAAAAGTTTCAGCTGCTCTTCTTTCTTTGTAATCGGAAAAGACTTTGTTATTTTGATGCTTTTAAAGTTGATTTGATGGTTATAGTAAATCACATGAACTGCTATTGCCGATTTATTTTCGAGTTCTTCCAGTTCTATGGGATTATTAGGCGGTTTGTTCGTGTACTTAAGATGTTTTTTTGGCTTGAGTCGAGATTTTGCGGGATGACTCTGCAATATAGAAGGCATCACAATCGACACATCCTAATTTGTAGAAATAATTCCGAGTTGACAAGAAGGGTATTTTTCCCTTTATGGGAACTAAAGTATTTTGAAGTGTGTTCGTTGTTTTGTATGTACTTTAATTCTGTGTTGCTGTAACACTCTTTGGAGTCCTGTTGTATCATGGTGGTATGGTAAAACTACAGTACCAATCCATGATATTTCATTCGGATTATTATTTAGCGGTAAAACGTCTAGTTTTATTGCACTTTTAATAATCTTTATAGGAAAAATATTATGTTGTAAGATGTTATTTATATGCTTTCGTTCGATTTGCTTATCCTTTCCAGATGTTATAATCTTGTTTGCCCTTCTAAATAGATTTGGGGTTAGAGATTTTTGTACTGAATGAATGCACTGAATTGAAGTCGATAAAGCGATTTGAGTGCATTGATTTTTAGTAGACGGCTAGATTTAGAGCTCCACTTAGATTTCTTTTAACTAAGCAATAAAAAATAATCGCTCACCGTGTTCATTTTCATTCTCATACGTCATTTCAATGTAACAAGAGAGTGTCACATTTTTTCATCCTTTACTATACACAGACACGCACAGATATACAAATATGCCTCATATAAATCACCTTGGTCGGAATGACATGACATTGACTCTATCACACCTGTTTTTGCTTGATCACATTTAATATTCTTGCTTTGTCTCTTTGTACCATTTAAACTTGGGTCAATTTAATCTGGTTATTTCTTTATTTTCTGAAGAAGTGACTTATACTGATTTACGAAACGTCTGAAAATTTAAAAACTGAATTTTTCTACTCATTGGGATATTATATTATATACGACTGTTCAGTACTACAAATGAAAACAATTCTTTCACTGTTTTTTTTATTCGATGGGTATTTTTAAATTGATTTGATTTATCAATATAGAGGTTTCTAGAGGTTGATAATTTCACGAACTCATCTAAGTTCAATATTCATTGAAAGCTTAGAAATAGTGAATAAACCTTTACTTAAAACATTATACTAGAGTCTTCTGCTTTCCAATGATGTTTTATGTAGGTTTGTATTTAGTTACACAAAAATGTATTTTCCAGCTTTAAAAATGTACATTAAAAATACCTGATATTGATGATTTAATATATAATTTTTTTTGTTTTCATTCTATAGATAAAATAAATAATGTGAATCATTCCCATTTAGATCAAACATTTACATTGTGGAATAAAACGTATACAGGTGGTAAGTTGAGTTGTGATTTTCCAATTGCTTAGTAATAATTATGTTTAACTTGTATTAGTATTTATATTGAATTAGTAGATATTTTGTTGTGATAGGGGATCTTGAAAATAACACATCGAGAGTATCAAAGGTAAGAGAAAATGTAGAGTTACTTACTGAATTACTTACATTTGTTACTCCTAGTGGAGGAGAATAGGCCGCCCACCAGCAATCTTTCTATCTTAGGCAATCCTTTCCCGCTCTTTGCAGCTGTTATTCATCCTTTTCATATCTGCTTGTATTTCCCGACGTAATGTACTCTTTGACCTTCCTCTTTTCTGATTCCCATTAGGATTTCAAGTTAGCGCTTGTCTTGTGATGTAGTTTGGTGATTTCCGTAATGTATGTCCTATCCATTTCAAAATGTAGAGTATATTAAGTTAAATAGCTTATAACTACATAAAATGTGTTTATATTAACTAATGATAACAATCATTATGAAATAATGGATAATAAGCTTCCTTTCAAGACTATTAATCAATCATAAGTAAGGAACTGATTGAGTATAGAAGTAAGATAATGAGTAATTGAATTCAGTTTTATTCTCAAACTAAATTTTAAAAAAAACTCGAATCTTTTCTATAACTAAATGTTACGAGGATTCATAACAATCTTTTAATGAAAAGAAATTTATATAGATTAGAAACCAACTAATATTCCGATATCATCTTAATTTGTAATAATCACAATGAAAACAAACAAAAGAAATGCTCGAAACCAATTAATGGCATATTACAATCAATATCTTTTTCAACATACATTGAAATCATTACTATTTTAAAAATGTTTTTCTTAATCGTCGGTATCTTTCATCTTTTAAATTCAACCAATAAAATGTTTGTTTGTTTTTGTATTACTTCAATGGATACAAATATTTTTTCACATACAAGATACTTGAATTTCAATGTAGTTAACTTTTTTATAGAAGATATAAAGAAAGTATAACTTCCAAGTGTAGTGTTTCAATTCATCTTTTCTAGTATTTAATGTCGGTATAATTTGTAAAGCCTTTTATTGATAACGATTGTTAAACATCAACAATTCGGTAGTCATAATTATCATTTTTGAAACAAATTAGAAACATATTTTATTAATTGTAATATTTTAGAGAAGTTGATAAATGAAAGGGCTAAAACATTTGACCTGGATACCATATGTTTATCTGTTAAAATGTAATTGTGCGTGCAAATATAGCTAATTTTGGGAATAATATCAGAGAATGATGCCTTTTTATAGTACCTACGTTACTTACATGATTGGTAATCCAAAAATAAGTAATTATTTGTTTATTTAGTTAAAATGATATTGAAATCTACTTTGGAAAACAATATGTGTTTATACTTTCTATTGCATACTTACTTATGCCTATTAATCCCAATGAAGCATAGGTCACTGACCGGCCTTTTTCAACTCACTGTTCTGGGCCTTCCCTTTCTAGTTCTATCCAATTATTGTTCACTCATTCTCATATTTGTGTTCATTTCTTGGCGTAATGTATTCTTTGGTCTTTCTCTCCTCCTTTGGCCTTGAGAATTCCAAGTGAGGGCTTGCCTTGTGATACAGTTGGCTGCTTTCCTCAATGTATGTTCAATTCACTTCCAGCACTTCTTACTTCCCTCCTCCATTGAAATCCGGTTTGTTCTCTTCCACAATAGGTTGTTACTAAAATTGTTTGGCCAACGGACGAATATATAATCGAAAGACTGAAGCTAAACACATTGACTTAAATAAATTATTGCTTGGAAGTTATTCATGACTCAAACTACAATGTGTCCTTTTTTGTCAAAGACTCGACACTGAGTGAATCACTATTTGATGTTTTTCTGATTAGCAATCGTTTTAACAGAACTATTTATTTTCATGTGAATAGAAATGACATCTTTTATTTTGTCCTACTGGGAATTTAAGTTCTTTTAACCATACAGTCTATATTATAAAAATCCCCATTCGGTACTACACTTAAGTTATAAGGTTCCTAAACGATCGTCTCGACTCAACTGACATCTTTAGTTTACTTGCTGATAACTACAGTATTCAACTGCATTTTAGTTTCATACAGGCAACTATAAACATGACATCAAATAATTTTGTTGTAAAATTTTTTTAGAAACAAAGAATTTATCAAATAATTTGCGTTTATTGCACTCAGTGTTGAAAACATAAAGACAAAGTGTAATAGCTGTACTCTAATGGATCTCTTCTAACTGATATTAGATGTATACTGATAGGCGGCAATAATATTAACATGGATTGACACTTATACACTTACGACGATTATTAACTTATGAAATGTATGAAATATAAATAGCTAGAATATAAAATAATACTTGAACTGAATAAAATGCGTAATATTGCGAGAGAAAGATTAGATTTTACGTTATAAAACTGAAGAGATCAACTATTTTTGATGTTTTATTACTTGAAATCATCGTATTATTTTGTAAATACGGTCTCTTGTAATTTACCGGTCATAGTTGTAGAGATTGTTGAATTTCATCTAAAACGTGAGCCGATCAATGTTAAACTAACATTAAAAATCTGAAAGCACTAGATGTCCATTGTGTTATAGTATGAGATTACTTAGTAATACAGTGTTGAGCCATGATTATTGGAATTCAACCGTGTAGTATGTGAAATGGTTACCCACCGAAGACAATGAAAAATTGTGGTGTGAATTGGTCAAAGTCAAATATCAGCTCCGTTTGGTGCTGACTTAGTAGTTCAGATGTTAAGTACTCAATAACGAGGCTAAAGTTCCTGGGTTAAGGCCCACGTGCTGGGTCGTGAATAAACACTGCTGAGGAATCCTGCACTAAAATGAAACGGTTGTTCAATGCTTCTAGGTTTTTGACAGTAGTTTAATATTTTAATTTTATCAATTTCTCATTCAGGATTATGTATTTACAGTTTGCATTATTGCGTAACTTTAGCTAAACTATCGATAATAATCAATATAGATTACATAGGTGGTTTATCCTGGTGTAACATCATTAATCAAACGCAGAAACAATCGGAGTACTTCCTTTAAAACAAGTAGATTTACATTTCAACTTATGAAAATGGCTAATCATCATCTATGAGATTGTGGTTGGAGGTAGTTAACAGGAAACCCTGAACCTAGGTTTTGTGCTATTTGTGACTCGTCAGCAAAGTATACCTGTCAACTTGAAACGGAACTGATGCTCCCTGATAGATTCGATCCCATGTCACCCAGCTTCACGGTTAGAGATGTTACCATTGAAGAAATATTTTCGCAAACATATATATAGACTTTTGAAAATTTAGTTGAAATGCTAAACATTTATTCATTATTCATAATGAATAAATTTTAACAACCATTTCAATATTATTCATTATTCAAGTTAGAATATCTTATTATAATAAACTTATTATTCATATTGGGGTTGATAATTTGAAATGTGATTAACCAAACTATCATCAATAAATGATTCTGATATTATTAAGATATGAAATGAAAAGTCATTTTTATTCATTATAATATAGACTTTTATGTTATATATGCTATACACCTTATACTGAATACATTCATACTATAGTAATAATAATAATAATAATAATAATAATTACTATTATTATTATTGTTCCGGTTATTGGAATATAAAACATCATTATATTTCAATGATAAATACACATTACTATTTATATAAGAATAGAAATGACAATAAATAAGTTAAATGCTTAGGAATGTTTACCATTAATTAATATTCATTTTATATCTAAAATACTTCTGACAGGGATATGAACATGTTATAATAGAACTTATGCATATATATATATATATATATATATATATATATATATATATATATATATATATATATATATATATATATATATATATATATATATATATAAATCATGACTACAGTAGTTATATGACAGTCAACATTATAGAAATGAAATAATTTCATAATGATAATTTATTGTTTCATACTCTTTGTGATCATCTAAAAAAATATCTTTACTTCTTTCACTATTGTTTTCATCTTATTTCATGTAATATTATTGAATATTTAATAGTAAACAATTGTCTATAGAGATATATGATATATTGTTGATATATAAATATTTATTGTATCCAAGTAATTGAAGTGAATGATTCAATGTTGAATATGTTTACTTGTATATGATACATATTTGATATGAATTTTCTCTTTTAAATATAAAAAAAACATTGTTGTCATGAATGTTTGTCATATATGTTAACAGAAGAAAAAAAATCTGATTTAGAATATACATATTATGTTATTGTATCATCAAACTTTGATTTATTGTAACTGATGAATGTTGAATAGTATAAACTGAGTATCTCATGTCTAGTTTAAACTTAACAGGTGAATATTATTTAATGAAGATGTTTACAGTTATTAAGATTTAACATACTGAATTATCTCTAATACATCCTTCAATTAACTTAATATTTATGTATAAAAAACATGTTTAATAATTTAATAAACAATCTATATGTATTTGGTGCCTACTTGTACCAATATCTATGTGTTAAAATAAATAAATAAATATTTTTTCACACTATGCTGATGTTTTTTCATAATAAACTTCAAATAAAATCTATGTATAACATTAATGAGGAAGAATGTATAAGTAAAATCTCAGTGAAATGAATTTAAAGTCAATCCATGTACTTAGTTATATTCAATAATTTTGATTATAATTATTTTAAAGAGATTGGATCAGATTCCTAGGTGAAACGTTGAATTTACTTCAAATTCATTCTCTGAGATTTTACTAATGCATTCTTCCTCCTTTAATATCTCATATCAACTCGGCGTCCAAATACTATGTGTTAGGATATGCAGAAAAATATACCAATAATTATCATGTTAAGTCTAATGTTGTCCTTGGACGCTAAATGTACATTCCCTATTGGTCGATATTTACTTCACTTGTTTAATATTGTGTAAATGTTGTTTTCTATTTTTATGGTACGATGTGGTATGTTTGGTTAGTATATAAATAGAGTATGTCTGAAATACAATGGTTCATATCTCAGAGGCTGTGACTTTCGTTCTGGACTCAACTGGCTGGGATAGACAGGGAAGCAGAGCCAATCAGGACACTAGGTCGTTCGTACGTGTTCACGTGTCACTGAATCAATCGATCGACATAAAACGCTGCTTATCAATAACCTGCACCCACCCGTTACAACACTATGAAAAGAAAGTTCTTACAAAAACTCATTTATATTAGTATTTTCAATTCTTAATTGTAGTTATAATCTTGAAACATTACAATTTGTCTAAACAACTGATTTAATCTTATCAAAATGAAATGAATCCTTATTATCCTTACCATTTAAAAAAATTTCTTTAAGTAATAATTATTCTTAAAGGAATACTGAACATGTTCCATATATCATTCTATCAAGAAAATTAAGAACCTTGATAAGCCTAATTAGAATATAACATACCAGGTTGAATATTGAAACTTTCTTAATTTGAATGATGAACAAACAACTTCTAAAGTTCTGAAATATGACGTTAGAAACATAATGAATATGTTTCTAAGAACATAATTAAAAGTCCTTTCTTGACTTGATGACAAAAGATCCATTTCATGACATTATTCAATAATGCAAAAAAACGTGGTTTACAATGCATAAAGTTTGATTGTATAAACGTTTATTACAATAGTGAACTGATAAAAATTGTTATTTTCACAATAGATTTTCAAGTATGTTAATCAGATGATAGAATTCATAAGTGAATACATGCTTGTACAGTAATAATGAATTACATTTTACTTTCAATAGGATTTTCAATTATGTTATTACACATAAGTGTAGTTGTGGTAAACATACTTTGAGAGAAAAATAAATCACTTCACTTTTAAATTTAGTTTTCTTCGTAGTAAATAGTCATGTAGGCAACTGAAATAACAACTCAAAACAAAATTTAAACAAATTTAATTTGTAATCAAAGATGGATAGTGGTTAGTAGTGAATTCTATGACGCGTGCCACTTCGTCTTATTTGGGACTCGTCAGCTGCATGTGCCTGCATTGCAGAGTTGATACTCGCTACGGGCTCAAATCCGGTACCGTTCGTTTCAAATGCCATGGCGTTATCGACTTAGCTACTGAGTCCTGACTTAAGGCTATATCGAGGCAATCCTCACAGGATGCACATATTCCAACATCAGACTGATCAATTGCAGTCCTAAATAACAATGAGAAGATACAAGTGAAACAACACCAAGTGGATTTAAATTTAATTTTGTTTAATTGTTAAATTCATGAGTTGATCTAATCTAGAACAGCATTGAAAACCTGAAAGCACTGGACGACCATTTCATCCTAGTATGAGACGTGAGCAGTGAGTACCCACGAACTCGAACCCATAACCTTTCGTTTCACGTGTGAACGTTTGACCTCTGGACCACTGATTATTTTAAAAAATCATTGATGAATATAGTGAACATCCATAATTTATTAATTATTTGAGTTTTCAGATAAGTAAAACAATCCATTGTGTCATTGAAATGAAATAAAGAGAATTCAATGAAGAAACTTCTGTTTTCGACAAAATCGTTTACTTAAGCAATAGGACGAAATAGCCGTCCTGTGCTTCCAGGTTTCCCATAGTGGTCTAGCTTCAATTGACTCATAATCTCAACTATTGAAATTACTACAATCTCTACAAAATACCTTCTGATAAATTAGAAATTATTATTATCCATTAAACTTATCTAGCAAATATATCAATGATAAATCTACTAATGAATGTATTCTATCATATATAGTGAATATATCATTGATTTTGTACTAAATATAAAAAATATCATAATTATTATTATTATTTCAATAAATTAATTTTCATTTATTTATCTTAGCTACATGTTCCAACTTACCATTGGTTCCAAATAAAGATCATGAAAATATTACAATACCTTCTTTAAATTTAAATCATGAAACATTGAACAATTCATTGAACACTGATCATATTTCTATTTATAATCGTTTATGGTCAAAAACTCGTACTGTTCCAGCATGGCTTTTATTAATTGTTGTACCATTAATTTCTATTAAATCACCTACATTTTTAAGTAAATTCAATGCACTTGGTAAGTAAATTTAAACATTCATTATTTTGTTAAATGTTTTTATCTATTTTTTTCTTATTCAATTAGAAGAATGAATTTTTGTTCAGTTTTAGTATAGAAAATGTAATCAAATGATAATTGATGGATAAACTTTCAGAAAAGTCACAGTGACCATGTGAAAAGTCACTTACCTAATATCGTTTGAAGAAAGAGGGTTATAGATTATTTTGAGGAATTAAGATTAGTATTTAGAGTTAAAAGTTAGGGTTAGAAACTCGAGTTTGGAGTTTCATCATAAAATGACACTAGTTATGAATATCAGAACTCCATTTAATTATTCGAATGAATAAATTTTGCGCTAAAATTCAATACTCTTTATCTTAAACCTAAATCATAGTTTCGTCGAAAATGTTTTATCTAATATATTACTATGAGTATTCTAAAAAGACAGTGTTGAACTTTTAGAAATAGTTTTATTGCAAGTCATCACAAATATTTGTAATAAGATAAACTTAAATAATCATTTAAAAACATAGAATGTGTTTAAGCATAGATGGATAGTAGCTAGCAGTGGAAGCCACAACGCGTGTTACGTCCTATTTGGGACTAGTCAGTTGGATTTACCTGCATCCCAGATTTAATGTTGACTTCGGGACTCGAACCCAGTACCGTCTGCTTTAAAAGTGAACATCAACTCTGAGAAGCAGGAATATCTGATTGATAAGTCCCGAATTGGACAAAACGCGCGTTCTGGATTCCACTGTTAACCACTACCCAACTATACTTAAAAAGCATGTAATTTAAGGCTATATCGACGCAATACGCACATTATGCATATATAACAATAAGAGACTTATCAATTGCAGTGCTAAACATCACTGATAAGTTTTTGGATTGATCTTTTCATAAGGTCAAGATTAATAAAGCTCTTGAACATCTCTCAAGCATCACTGAGAATTCATGTATTGGTTAAAGCTAAGCCACAATGGAAAACCTGGAAGCACCTGGACGTCTGTTTCGTCCTTGTATAGGACTCCTCAGCAGTGCACATTCACGATCCTACCACGCGAGATTCAAACCCAGGGCCTAAAAATATTACTCATTCACTTTCACAAAGTATAATTTGTTTATCAAGAGTATTACGTTTCAACAGTAAGAAATATTTTAACATAAACTATTTGACAAATATACTATACTAGGATATCGAAGATGAAATTTGATGTGCTGATATACTTTCAACTCATTATGGGAAGTTGTTTTTCCATAATGCATCAAAAGTACTTTGATTTTTGTAATGGTAATCAATAAAGAGATTACATTTTTTTACATCTTTTAACTCCTGTTTACAATGCTCTTAAATGTATTTATAACTTTAATAGTCAATTAACTCTATTTTTTGCGAACAATTGATTACAAATTTCCTAGTAATATAATTTTGAAGTCAAGTGGTTTGATATCAATGTAAATGTGTGCATGGTATACTTAATTATTTGATCACAACATCAAAATATGGCGTTTCAATCATGTATATTTGATCCAAGAGATTCCAACTGATAACATGGCATGAAATCACCTCATTATTTTGTTTACAATTGTCATTATCGAGTTGTGTTTTTTTCCCCTCAGTAATATGACATGATTATATTTAATATAACTTCAGGTACTATTTGTGTATTATATCTGGTCATATTGGTTTGTTTGAAAGCTGGTCAATGGGGAATAAATATGGATTTTTCATCTAAACATCCTTATAGAATTGTACCTCGTGAGTTCATAAGATTAATTCCTTCCATATTAATTATTTCATATTAGTGATTTATCATGCCATCGTAATTATTATTAATATCTTGAAGAGATTCACCATATGTAAAAGTATAAACACTATAAAAGCGGAAGCTATTACTTTGGTTAAAGTCTAAAGGATTAATTTCGATATGGTTTTTCAAAGTATTCGAAAAAATCTTTGATAACCTGCTAAATAAATGTTAAATATTACTGTAATATGAAGCTTCGATTTCATGAAATATGATTGTGTGTAGTATGTATGGTACTAGTGTATTTTGTATATTTTCATAAATATACAACACGGAAAGAAATTCAACAGTCAGTAAGTTGTGTGCCTATTTTTCCACACTCACTGGTCGATACACCAAGCTTTTTATTATTCATATCGCCATACAATTACCTGAATAACCTCTGAAGCTATGTTCATGATTGTAGAAAAGAAAGTGAATAACCTTTTTAAATAAAAGTATTGGTTTGATGTAGAGTGATGCTTGCTAATTCATGAATTTGAATTTATCAAAGCAATAGCGTATTTATAATCCTTTCTTTACATCCCAATATAACATAAAGCAATGTGTTCTTCATAAATAGTGAAAATCACTAGATAGCTATTCTCTTCATGAACAATATTTAATTAACCTAACAACATTGAATAATAATAGATAAGAATTTTCTTTTAGAAAAAAATTAAACCTAAGTTTTCCCAAACAAATTTTGGCTATTAAAATGGTAATTATGATTGTAAACATTTTAGTGATTGAAAGTAAAAATAATTTCTACCTTACTTTTGATAGGAGGACTTAAGCTTTTATCCCCTGAAGAAACTCCAAATAGACTGCTGAATCAAACATTGGAGTTACTTTCAACTTCAGCTAATCAGAATTTTAAAAATATAATATAATTTAAACGTTTGTTATAAACAAGACATCCATCTATTATGAAATTATTAGCTTAAGTGAAAATGAAAATTCTTTTAGAATGACTTGACTGTATAGGTGATCATAGTAACCAAGTGACTTAATCATGAATGAAGACAAAAATGTATTATAGTACTTTTATAGTTGGTCGGTCATGTTGATGAATCCAAAAATATACCTTACCAAATTTTTCAGAAGTGTAGTAAACATCAGAAAAGGCTTGACTTAATCACTATTCGGTAGAAACGTTTCAGAAACAATGACAAAATGAAGAATCATACATCATGTTTATGATTAAGATATCACTGTTACTAAATCGCGGATGTTTCCAGAAAGTTCCAAAACAATTAGGTCACATGAAACTTCAGAAACACACTGGACTTTCTGTTTGTGTCCAATGTTGAAGAAAAGCTCCTTCTCACAATTCACACTTTTTCTCATTTATTTGAGTTGACGTGTAGAAGTAGTGTCTTTTTGGCGAATGCCATCTAGTATAAAACATAGGTTCACTTCCAGTTACTTTCAACTACTGTGTATCTATTATGATTTCAATACTCTTTATTAGGTCAGTCAGTTCGGCTTTTGTCAAATTACGTCATGTACAGAAAAGGCAAGATATCCGTCTATCAACTAACAGACGAGTATACTGTGTGGCAGTTCGTTCTGTTTTACTTTACGGCTGCGAAACACGGCCATTAAGAGTAGAAGATACTCTTAACCTACTAGTATTTGACCACAGATGCCTTAGAAATATTGCTCCCATCTGCTGGGATCACCGGGTAAGTAATAGTGCGATTAGACGTAGCGTATTAGGGAAAATATGATAAATCACTTGATGAGGATGTGAATCTTCATCGACTGAAATGGTTGGGTCACGCGTTGAGTATACCTGAACACCGTTTACCACGACACGCAATGCTGACTAATGTTGAGAGTGGCCGGAAGAAAGTGAGGGGCGGCCAAACCAAAACGTGTTATCAGTGCTTGGAGTCACTAACTTCTAGTTTGAGCCATGTTGGCAGATGCAGACTGCTTGGTTGGGATCTGCGTGACTATCGTAACCAATGGTTGGAGACTCTTGGTGACACAGCTCAAAATCGATCACAATGGCGTGGGTGTATACACTTTTTGTCTTCCATTAAACTATGACATTAAAATTGCTTCATATTTTTCTTTCTACCAACTAATTCTTTCTTCCTGCACTATGGCCTTATATACCCTTGACTTAAGCACTCCTATGAATTTGGTGTTGATCTTGTTGTGCTAATGCGGCATGTCAACTTGGACCAATGAACAAATTTGCCTGTTCTTACGTTTTAGCTGACTGACTGAATAAAACTTTTTGTTGATTTAAACATACATGCATACATACTTACATATATACACACACACACACATTTCATCAAACGAGAAGTTGACTTGTAAATACGTTAACTACTCTTTTGAAATAACTAAATTCCATACTTGAAATATATCAAATCGAGAGAGAGAGAGAGAGAAAAAGATATGCAGTACATAACTATGAAATGTATTATGAACAAAATGTAGTTCATATACGTACTTGTAGATAATTACATGTTTGTTTTTTTTCATATGTTTGTTTTGTTTTCAAGTGTTACTATTAGAAACTGTAATGTTGACTTATGCCAATCTATGTACAAAATGTTTTTTAAGTGTTTTACTTTATCACAAAATACTGATTCATATTTTTTTTGTTTACCAATTATGAAAGGTATTCAAAGAAATCTTATATAATTTTATTATAAATGATGAATCACATTGAAAGTAATTAGAAATACAGATTGATTAATGAATCCATAAACTCATTCAATCGGCATGTATAGTGATTGTTGTTGTTATTTAAATATTGGAAAAATGATTGTTTTTCATAATCAGATTACAATTTGATCCGCCTGGAGTCCCTCCGGGCGCTACTGCCTGTCCCAAGTTCATATAAACGAGGAGGGTTGGGCATGGGGTTAGCATCTCTATCCCGTAGAAAACTAACTCGTTAAAAAAACGCTTACCAGAAATTTGATAGATGAGTAAAATAATAATGATAATGAGAAAGATTTTAGTTAATGAATTAAGTGTTCAGTGTTCTCAACTGGATGGATTAATCATGAATTCTTATTATCATAGCTAGATATCTTAAAAAGAATTATCTGTGAAGTGTATATAGATGATGTTGTCTAAAAAGATAATTAAATCAAGCAAATAGGAGAGTGATGAACTTTAGGTAAGTTCTACTTTCAATTCAGGCTTGAAGGAATGTTCTAGAAGAATTCGTAAATCAAATAACAAGAGAGTTATTTTATGCTATTCATAAATCTTAGAATAAAATGTATACGATCTGATATTCAAATCCAATGTGTTGTGAAATAATATCACAGTTTAGGAAACAATAATGATCCTAATTATTTTATTGTGGCTAGCAAAGTTATATACTAAAAGTGGAGCTAATCTGTATCGGGTATAAGTCAATTACCCACTGAAGACAATAGAAAGTGGTTATGGATTGATTGAAGTTGGATATTACCATTAATGGATCCTTATTCTAATGGTCTCAAGGTTAATCGTTCTCGCGTATGATCGGAAGTCCTGTGTTCGTCATTGTGAACATGCATTGCTAAGGAGTTTTATACTAGAACTAAATAACCGTCTATTGATTCTAGGTTTTCATTGGTAGACTAATTTATGTTGATTCATGATTTTAATGAAATTCAACAAACTCTGCAACTTCATAATGAAAAAAATTAAAGTGTTACAATTAGAAAATATTTATCAACAGTCTTCCAGTACTACAATTTTGTTTTACAGAAAGAATACAGTGATAAGTAGATTGTTTGAAATCTTTTATCATATATATTATTATTATTATTATTATTATTACTATTATTATTATTTAGAAGCACAAACTACATTCATTAGTTTAACTGGTATATGTTCACTGGCATTTTTCTGTCACAACACTTTACATACATTGACACGTAATCAAAAACGACCGGAGAATAATGTAAGTGAATTTAAATCTGTTAAGTGTTTTGCATATATTTGTTGTTTTCATTAATATTATATTATTATACCCTATTAAACAGTTAAATAAAACGAATGTGTTGAGGTTAGATATTAACACCGTTGGATACCGGCTCAGTGGTTGCAGTAGGGTAAGTGTTCGCGCACAAGACTGAAGGACCTTGGTTTGAATCCCGTGAGCGGGATCATAGATGCGCACTGCTGATGAGTCCCACAATAGGACGAAACCGCCGTTCAGTGCCTCCAGGTTTTCCATAGTGGTCTAGCTTTAATTGACTCATTTGATCTCAATTATTAAAATTATTTAAATTTGATTGTTTATTCGACAATTTGAAGTATCTTACAAATAAGAAACCGAAAATTACACAGTTTACATGAAGAATATCTGCGCTACCTGTTCCTGCCATCTAGTTATTTCAACAAGTTATTTGTTTGCTTTTTTGTTTTAACAAATCATCATGCCTATTAGTCTCATAATTTATTCAGGTGTGTTTATGACAAGTTTACGATATTTCGCTTTCCAAGTTGCAAAAGAGCCCAATCACAGACATCGTGGTTGCTGGCAGAAGTATGCATTGAAAAGAATAAGCATTATTCACATGTCGATTCCTGAACTTCTAACATCCAACTGGCGACTACTCAATATTTATCTCAAGGATCGATCAAGAAATAAGAAAATGAAGCTTGTCGAAATACTTTATGCTGAGAATTCTATATTGTACCAAAAATATAATATTGAAGAAAGCCTTTAATAATAATAGTAATAATAAGTGACCTTAATTAGACAATAATAGTAAACCAGAAGATAGAAAATATGAAACTTATTAACACTGCTTACTGACGATGGAGCCAGGGATTGACTCCAAGATCTTTCGTTATCGTGGTCAGCCCTTAACCCTAAGGTCACTGAGAAAATAACTTGTATGAGTAATTTTAGTCGGTTTACGATATTACATAACCGTATTCCAATATGATTAGTAGGGAAATGGTTTCATACATGTGTAAATAATTTCATATCCTTCTACATCTGTAACAGTATAAATTCTCAAGAAGACAATTCTTCTTAATTGTTAATTGAACTGAATACATTAAATTCCTCTGGTTTCAGGTTTTCATATATATTCATTAAAAAAGATTATTAACACTTTAAACTAAACTTTACGGCAAAGAACTGGAGAAATAATTTTTTCAATGATTGAGATCATGAATCGATTGAAGATAGACCACCATGGAAATCCTGGGAATGTAACACTGGATGCCGACTCAGTGGTCTAATGGTTAAGCGCTCGCACCCGAGACTGATAAGTTTTGGGTTTGAACCTCTTGAGGCGGGGTCATGGATGCTCACCGCTGAGGATTACCATACAAGGACGAAACGGCCGTTCAGTGCCTTCAGGTTTTTATAGTGGTCTAGCTTCAATTGACTTATGATTTTCGAGGGATGGTGTGACACAGTGTCTAGAGACGTTATCAGATATGGCTCAGAATAGAAGCCAGTGGCGGTCCTGCTGTAACCTTCCTTTACTTTCCTCATAAAAAGTGGTTGTGTCTTCCATATGTATTTGGTACTCTCTTTTGCTAATATTTATGTGTTTAAATAAATAAATCAAATAACCACAAAACGCTTTCTGATACAAATAATTATTTGTCTAAATCGTTTCACCACCTAATATTATCAAGGATATTATTACCAGAAATCGAACTTTTTTTGAAGTACTCAAAATTTACTCTCAATTTATTAATACAGTGGAAGATTTGTGATGATCATATGTGACCACATTCTGTTCAATAATATTGCAAAATGGTCTTACACAGTAGGCAAATCAACTGAAGTTCGATTGATAAGCTACTAGATGCTGGGTCGGTGGTCTTAGGTTTAAGCGCTATCTGTAAATATCAAAAGTCCTGAGTTCAATTCCGAGTCAAATCATGAATATCCAGAGGTGAGAAATAACATACTAGTATGAAACAGCAGTTCAGTAATCTCTACTTTTCAGTGTTTGTCTAAAACTAGTTTGTAATATAAACTATGAGATCAATTTGTTATGACTTAATAATTCAATTAGTTTGTTTATTATGTAGTTTTCATATTCTATTAAAAAAGTAATATAATTCTTCATTTTACATGTATTTATTTCAGACGCGTGATGTGGCTATTGCATTTCTTCTAGTAGCAGCGACTTATTTGTCTATCGGTTTAATATTCTATTGCTCTTTTCCATTAGCAAAATCATGTATTGAAGATGTAAGCAATTAGATTGTTTGTTTATTTTTATGAATTTGACTTCGTAGTTATTGATTTATTATTTTGGAATTATCAGAAGGGGTTTTGTGGAGATTTTAGAAGTTTCACTGGTTGAAACCATCAGTCGATTGAAGCTAGAACACCATGGAAAACCTGGAAACACTGGATGGCCATTTAGTTCTAGTACGAGACTCCTCAGTGCGCGTCCACAAAAACGCCCCCCACGAGGTTCGAGCCCAGGGCCTACTGGTTTCGTGCGCGAGCACTTAACCCCCAGACCACTGAGCCGGCATCCAACGGTGTTAATGTCTAACTTCAACCAATCCACAAAATTGCACGACCATTTTCTATTGTACTGAGGTAGATGCCTGTCTCTATCCGACAAGGAATAGCTCCATTGGTCACGGCTTCTCACTATAACTCTGAGAATTCCCTCACGAAGCTAGTTACTAGTGACATATGGTTATTATCAGTATGGAGTTGTGGAGAATATTAAGTTATTGATTGAAACTTTGAACCAAGTGATATTAGACCATCATTGAAAACCTGGAAGCACTGGACGACCGTTTCGTCCTAGTTTGGGACTCCTCAGCAAAACGCATCCACGATCCCGCTCGCGGGACCCAGATTTTTTCTTTATTGTTTAATTGAAACTCCTTTTATTGGTTCACTAGTGCAGGGATTTTCACACATATATTGATTATCAACTCATTTTAAGATGAAATTCGCAAATTAATCTAATAATTATTAGATTTCATGTTACTAAAAGTACCATGTTTCCCTGTTACATTTATTTGTACATCTGATGATATAAGGTAAGGTTAGTGAGTTTTTCGACCACATCATACAAGAAAGAAGTCCAATTTTAACATAATTATTCTAAATATATCAGTTACGCACAGTTTCTAAATCATCATTAAAAGTATTGCTAACTCTAATGTTCTATTGGTTATTGACTCTAGACATGTTAGTTTGAACTATGTATAAATAAAATTAATATCAATTTAGATTACATTATTGTCGATAATATTGTATTGTCATATTCATTATGATAACTATGCACATATATTGGCACTAGTAAAATCCATATAAAACTATGTAAATTTAATTTTCTTCTTACTGTTATCAATTTGTTGGGATTGTTGTATACATTAAGTATCATGAACTGACCCAAAATGGACAATCATTGAAAACCAGCAGTGGAGTGTTGTTTGACTGTAGTATGTGATTGATCAACAATACACGTCTATGGCTTAACATAGATTCCAACTCAGGAACTTCAAGTCTCTCGAAAAGCGTTCAATCGTTTTCTTCATTAATGTAGACTACTACTTAGTGTTTGTATCTCATGCATTGTGTATGGAAAAGACATTTTAATGAAAATTGTTTATCTATTCATTTAATCACTAGTGAATACTTCCAAATAACCATATAGTTATAAATTACTTATTGCTAGTAAACTCTATTATTGAATATGGTTCATGACAGAAGTGAGAAATAGAAGTAACATGACCAAGTATTCATGATTTTTTACAGTACATAGAACCTGTTATAAATTGTAATATCTAGATCCATCCTGTAAGCAATGATGGGTAGTGGCTAGCAGTGGGATCCATGACGCGCGTTTCGTTCTATTTGGAACTCATCAGTTGGATGTAACTGCACCTCAGAGTTGATGTTCACTTTGGGACTCGAATCCAGTAACATTCGCTTCAAACGCCATCGCGTTATCCACTCAGCTACTGAGTCCTGATAGCCACTTTCATGTGCAATGGGGTGAATTTAAATTCACTTGGTATTGTTTGGCTTGTATCTTCCCATTAAAGTTTAAGACTGCAATTAATCAGTCTGTTATTGGCATATGTGCATACTGTGTGTATGCCTCGATATTGCCTAAACATCATTGCTTACAAAAAGCTTGTGAATTAAGGCAATATCGAGGCATATGCACAGTATGCACATATGCCAATAACAGACTGATCAATTGCAATCTTAAACTTCAATGGGAAGATACAAACCAAATAATACCAAGTGAATCTAGATCCATTTGTATGATGAAAGCAAATCGTTAAGATAAAATGTAATTCATTCGTACCTATATGCAAATGTTTGTTATCTCCTTTTTATTTTTTTTTCTCCATTACAAAACTTATTTAGAATCTTCTAAACAATCTAGTAACAGATATACCAGTATTTATTGGTCGTTTCTTTTCACTTTTACAAATGTTCACTGTATTTCCAATGATACTTTATGTTTTACGTGTACAAATTATGACTGCTTTATTCAAAAAACCCTATCCAGGGTAAGTCAATAAAATGTTATTCTTATATTCTCTCTTATAAAATGAGTATTTTCTCTCCCTGGAATATAAAACTAGATTTAATCACCTGATTGAAATTGTATATAAAGTTAGAAGATTCTAACTACTAATAATCAAAACTGTTATAATGTGTCTTTTATTACCTTTTTTTTTGTTGTTTTAACTCAGATCTTACACGACTGTATGATCTTTATTTATTGAAATAGTTGCATTCCATTTAAAATGTGAAACAAGTGAATAATGATGAATTGAAGTTAAAATTCATTATAAACAGCAATAACAATGATACATTCTATAATACAAAGACTTGGCATTACTTGTTTCATTGAAGTTGAATGTAATCAACAAAGTTTTCATTTATATATTACCATAATTGAATGAACTACTTCTATGAATTCAGTGTTTATCTTGTTGTGTTAATGAGGTATGACAACTTAGATCGATGCATATATGTGCCTGGTCCTATGTTTGAATTGACTGACTATCTAGTTGATTTTAATGTCAAAAAGCATTGTCTCTTCTTACTCAGTATTTGAATCATTTTATGCTTCCACATTGTTTATGGACAGTATTTTTTTCATTGCTCATATACGTTTCTTGGCTCAAATCATCATTCTATATGTATAATATTGTTATGTTTTAAAAATTTGTTTTTGTTTGACAATTTCTATCATCTAACAATTTACTAATGTACAATGTTTAGCTGACTGTATTTACTTATTGAGTGTGAGAAATTCTACTGATCTATTTGTAAGGTAGATTCAATTATTAGACTATTTATTCATCAAACAGATAGTTACAATTTAGCTAATATTCAATAGTGACCAATTTCATGTTTATCTAGTCCTATAGTCATGATCGAATTCAATTAATTGGACTGTATTAAACCTACTAGTCTAAGTACTTTAAGATGATATACATTGTGTTCAAGACCAGACAAATACCATATTGGTCACTAACCAATGATAGGTTGACTGTGAATATCTTAGTCCTACAGACAATCATTAAGAAAGTAAGTAAAATGAATGATGACATCTCAGAAAGTGAATCTGGGTGACTCTGATTTGTCTTCTATAAGAATAATCAATTCCCTCAAAATTTGAGGCACTCTATACAGACGAATGACAAATAACGTGAAACCTAGATCAGACAATGTTTCTCATGTACTACTTGCAACTATCTAACACCTCAAATTTAAGTATACGCTGAACAGCCAGCCATTTTTATAGATACCAACGACTGAAATTGGACAGCTGCTACAGAATATAATCTTTTGAACGTGTTTAATTAATAAATTTATACTTAACTATTTCATTGGTTGAAATAATGAGTCAATTAAAGCTAGGCTACCATGGAAAACCTGGAAGCACTGGACGGCCGTCTCATCCCTGTATGAAACTCTTCAACAGTGTCCATCCACGATCCCACTCCCCGTGAGATTCAAACCCAGGACTTATCAGTTTCGGGTGCGAGCGCTTAACCATTAGACCACTGAGCCTGTATCCAACGATGTTAATCTCGCGGGGAGTGGTATCATAGGTGCGCACTGCTGAGGAGTCCCATACAGGGATGAGACGGCCGTCCAGTTGCTTCCAGGTTTTTCATGGTCATCTAGCTTCAATTGACTCATGGTCTAAACTATTGAAATTAATAAAATCTACATCAAATCCCTTCTGACTTAACTATTTGCTTATTTGTTTACTAAAAAATTTTTTTTCCATTTATTACTTTTAAATCTCAGATTTATTCATGTTACTGTATTACACGTGTTTATTCTTGGACTATCATTAACGTTTTCAATGTTAATGCCGAGTATTGGTACCATAATTCGGTGAGTTAAATTCTACGATTTATTCAAATGTGATTAATGAATTTTACAACGATATACTTATTTAGTAATGAATATTGGCATAGAATTTGTCTGGTTAACTATATATTGTTATCATTATAGGTTAACATAAAATGACATATATAATTTGATATCTTATCTAAAAATTGAACATTAAAAAACAACCAATCGTAGGTTATTTGTGTTATAAATTGTGCCCTGTGTCCTTGTTAATGTATAACGTAATGATACCGCCAATTAGAGAACAGTGAATTATCGAATGACCAATGACGCACAAAACAAGTACGAGCAGTTTAGAGTGTTTATCAATTCTGCTTTCCGCCTAGTCCAGACAGTTAAGTCAAGAACACCAATCATTTATTTCAAACATACTAGGTTTATATACCAACCAAACAGACCATACCGTACCATAAAATATGAAACAACATTTGTACAAGATTTAGCCAAAAGTGTCTATGAATGTGAGAGATAGTAATTGATAGACAGGGCATAATTCAAAAATGGTAAATCGTATAATAATAGTTTATGGGTCAAAATAAAGCTCACAATAAGAGGGACATGGACATGAATAGTTAAGTTACATAACAATTATACGACAGAAATATACGTATAGTATTGGTCCACAAATGGATCCCAAAAGTTGCCATTCATTATTCTCATCGAGATATAACAATTTGCAAGATGACTTCTGTATGTATGTAGTTGTTATCAATTTGATGAGCATTTTCAACAGCTCAAATTATCAGAAAATAACATGAAGACAAACAATATTGCTTTCAAATGATGAAGTCTAATGGTATCAATGAATTTTGTGTATCGCATTACAAATTAACTTAATTTAGATAATGACTGAAATCTCGAAAGCATTGAATAGTTATTTCATCCTATCCTCAGCAATGAACACTTCACTGAATATCAAACTAGGGACTTTCAAGCTTTGAGTTAAAAGTTTTAATCTACTGCTTCGACATTCAATAGTTTATGTTTCTAGTTTCATTTATTTAGAATGTTTAGTACTTCTCGGTTTTCAATGATTTTGATGTAAACTGTAGAACTGGTTGAAACTGGTTCTTCATGAGACTATATGATAAAGTATATATATATATATATATATATATATATATATATATATATATATATATATATATATATATATATATATATATATATATATATATATATATATATATATATATATATATAATGTCTGCTGCCAGACATTACGTTTTAACTCGCGTCATATACTACTCATATCAATATAAGTAGCTCACACCACAGAAATTTTCAATGATTTAACATCAAACCATCATAATAAATTCTATACATTGACTTGTTAGTTCATTTAGATGTTTAGATTACATAATATGAACCTGACACCCTAATTTTGATAAAAAGTATTCGTATTCTCATGTGAATATTGAAAATGAATATCAGATACGTCTTATGATCTCACTAAATAGTGATCATGGCTAATGATAATAATACCTAAAATCCACTTCTTTTTTTTCGAAATACTTACATTTTCATTTCACTCAAAAGAATAATTCATCTTGGATTACAATTAAGTAACTATGATTTTTTCTTCAGATCTTCTACTGGTTTTGTGGACAGTACAATTAACAATGAACTCACTAATCCATAGTTCTATCGCATTGAAACATAATTTATATTTTACATTCTACATCATTGAAATAATTAGTGTCACAGATGTGAATTTAGCTTTCATGGAATGATCAAAAAACAGCAAATCAGTTTGTTTTTTTCATTCTGTCATAAATGATTTCTTCATTCATTCCTATCGAGTAAAGGGTGAGACTCTAATTTAGGGAAGGTTTTTGAACGAATCTTAAGCGACCTTGAGAAATATTAGCCAGTCAGCAAACATCTAGTATAGAGTAAAAAGATGTTACACAAAACCAAGGAAATAGAGTGGATACACTTCTTATACGTGGTTCAAAAGCTTGTCCAGATTAGAAAGAGGTTCAGAGGTTCTGAAATCGCAATGCATGCAGTAGAGGAAATCATCCATACGGCTATAGAATAGTCGGCCTCTGGAGCCATGATAAAGTCTCAAAAACTCTTTCATCCTCGACCACATAGCCTCAATATTTTTTATGTGCACTCCGGTTGTTGAGTGTACAAAATTCTACTTGTGGATAACAACACAATGCACATAAACAACCCTATGTAGCAGTCTGTACGTTCTCCAAACATCCGTATATATATTGTAGTACCTGGCTGCAGCCAGTGTTACTGGTGCTTTCATTATCCAGTTCGCAGTAATTGTCGTAATTTACCTTACTTAGGATTTATATATGAGGTTCTCATCACGAACTAACATCAACTATAATGCCAGAAATTTATTTAGCCAATTGAATGAAAGGCTTTCGCGTTAAAATCCGAGATCTATTATCTTGATTGATTCGTCCACAAATTATGGTCCGCCGTTTTATTTGTTATAGCCTCTCAATTATCACGTTTTGTACAAAATTCACTGTGAACCGATAGTACGTTAGCATTAAGCACAGAAGTTGGTGCCGTAACCTTGAAATTTCTAAAACGCCTCTGATTGGCTCGTCCGTAATTTAGAGTCTGCCGAGTAAAGCTGTATGCGTAAAATATTATTTACGAGTTTTTATTCACACTACTCATAAGTAACAACAAATTAATAACGTAACTATTTCTATGATTTAGTATTTTTCGACTTCAAAGTGTCTTCATCACTGCAGCCAATATATTCCAAAGAATAGTAGGAATTAATATATATTTGTACTTATACAAGCACTTGGTCACAGCTTTTATGACGACATATGTTATCCCTATATGTTTACTAGGTGATCTTATCATGTGATATAACAATGACGAATTGTTGCCTATATTAAGTACTTTAAGAAGCCATAATAAATTAAGAGTTTTATTAGTTAGATACCGATGGATGAACAAGATCAACTTTCTTTTATGAAAAATTTATGAAGTATACTTGAGTATTTTCGGGAAAAAAAAGAAACAGTAAAGTTAAAAGAATTTTCTCAAAAGAAACTAGTGACTCTAATGAATTATTCACATTTATGTTTAACAAAGAAAACGATGGATCAATCAGTAATATTATTAAATCATAATCACATTGAAACTTATATTTTGATGTAAAAGACATGACATAGGTGAGTTGAAATTGATATCATCTAAGCTAATTTGATGAATAAAAGTTTCTTTTTATTATGTCTTGCTGATTGGACGCTACATTCGTTCCTAAGCTATTCTGATAACCCGCATGCTAGAACTATACGGCGACCTGAACACCAGAAAAAAGACGCAAAGTATGAGAGAAACACTTTACTCCAAGGTTCGTTTTTGTACAGGAAACATGGGTATTTATAGATGTTAACGCTTGTTAAATCAGCATCATATTTCGGCCAATCCGTTAACCACACATTATGATACTGACCACGTTGAAATTCTAGAATGCTCCATGTTTTTAAGCCTCTGGAGGCTCCACTGAAGTCCTTCGAAAGCCGACTCAACACTTTAACTATGGTTAGCAACAACTATATGTCAATAATTTTTCAAATTAAGTTGAATATTTAAACATCATAACAGTTTACATTTTTAAGAGACTCATTTAACATTTCATTTTATGCAAAAATAATAGTAATAATAAAAGCATTTAGTATAAGATAACCGAAACGCTGTAAACAAGAATTGCCTAGAATGTAAAATTCTAAATAATATATAATATAACCAAAGATAATGACCACCAGCGGAGATCAAGTGATGTACTAATAGTGAAAATTATGTAACACGTGAACTCTACATGTTTATTTAATACCTCACACAAATAATGAAGGTATTGAACAAACATAAATCTAACGGGTAGTATCGAATTTATTTAAATATCACAAATATAATAGTAAATCCAAAGATATTTTGTTATGTTGCTAAAGGAAATCTTGTATTTGAAGTTTATTATAAATACCTCACTTCTAGAAGTTTACAAATGGAGTTTGACTTTAACAGATTGTGTTTGACCATTTGTTTCGTATGTGACTACTTAATTATTTTGCGAGTAGTATATTTGTGAGGTACCAGGAATTCAGTCTCTAGAAAGAGATTCTACTCGTTTTATGTTAATAATCTTATACATAACAATATTATTAAAAATTAATACATTGTGAAGTGATTTTTCCATATAAAATGTCACTTATCTACCACATTGAATATAAGATGTATTGCGTGTGTTAAACCACTATCTACCTTGATCGGTGAATGTGGTTGGTTTAGAAATAGAATGAAATAAAGCTAGTGGTAGTTAAACCAAAACTAGAAAACATTTTCTGAAGTAAATATTGATCTGAACTATCTTGATAGATGCAGACTAATTGATTGCGGTCTATGAAGTATCTGCCATTTAACATTTGATGAGCTGAATAAGTTGACTGAAAATTATTCACAATGGATTACGTGTATACTCTTTTTACTTTCACTGAGATGCTATGTTTCAAACTTATTTTCTACCTTTAATTTAACGAAAACATTCTTTCCTTTTGAATCATATTCTGTATTTATAATCTGGTGAGACTATAATCTATGGATGATGTTTGAACGAATTTTACGTGACATTGAGTAATATTAGTCAATCAGAAGACACATAATATAAAGTAAAAATATTTCATACAAAACCATAGAATTAAAGTAGATACACTTCTTTTACATGGTACTAAAAGTTTACAAGGTTAGAAGGAGGTTCTGTAGTAGCGGAACTCATCCATATGGCCCCATAATAGTGGGCCTCTCAAGCTATGATAAGATCGTAAAAACCATGAATTTCAGTCTAACCAGCAATGTTTTTTTTATTATGACTGAAATCATGACTACTAATTCATCAATTGTCGAGGATCGGTAAAGTAATAGCAGCATTCCTACAATTGAAGAACACATATAACTCAAAACAACTTTCAACCAACATCAGGGTCACAATCTTCAATAGGAACGTCAAGACAGTTCTACTGTATGGAGCTGAAACTTCAAGAACTACTACAACCATCATCAAGAAGGTACAAGTATTTATAAATAGCTGTCTACGCAAGATACTCAACATCCATTGACCAGATACCATCAACGACAGCCTAGTGTAGGAGAGAATAAACCAGCTTCCATTTGAAGAGGAAATTGTGAAAAGATGATGGAAATGGATAGGACATACATTACGCAAATCACCAAACAGCATCATGAAGCAAGCCCCAACTTGGAATCGTGAAGGAAAGTGGAAAAGAGGAAGGCCAAAGAGCACATTACGTTAGGAAATAGAAGCAGATATGAGAAGGATGAATAACAACTGGAAAGGATTGCTCAGGACAGGGTTGAATGGAGAATACTAGTGAGCGGCCTTTGCTCCTCCACAAGGAGTAACAGACGTAAGGAAGTAATTTATGAATTACTCTGATAATTTCATCTCTTTCTAGTTGATAAGGTATGGTAAGGTCAACAGATATACATTTGTAACAGGTTCAATATTGTTTATGACAGCTAGACTAAATCAGATTTCCTCATTATTACTAATATCAATTCTTAAATTAAATTATCAATTTATATATATATATATATATATATATATATATATATATATATATATTTATTTATTTATTTATTTATTTATTTGTTTTTATTCATTTTATTATAGATTTAGTGGTTCATTATGTGGTCTAGTATATATGTTTACACTTCCACCATTAATTTATTTACTTAATAAACGTACATTAATTCGTTTACAAAATGAAGGTCATATTAATATATCTGATATTCATTCAAATAAATTATTAAATAATAATTATCATTTTAATCAAATTAATTCTATCAAAACATTTCAAGATGATCATATACCATTTCATAATTTACAAATTGATAATCATAATGATACAATATCAATTATTAAAATTAAATTATTATCAGAACATGAAACAATTAAATATTGGTTTATTATTTTTATTCATTTATTTATTATGTTATTAGGTTTATTAAATTTTATTGGACAATTTATTATATTATTTATTGAATCTAATAAAAAACAAATTGTTTCATCAACTAATAGTTAATTGTAAACATTTATACATGTACGCACATACACACACATGCACACACACACACACACGCATATATGGATACACACATGGATACGCACAAAACTGCATACATTACTTTCTATTATGTAATCCTTTAATTCATCATTACATAATTGCCACTATTATATTACATAATCACTATGCCCTAATGTAATCACTGATAGATAAATTGAATAGAATAGAATAGAATATCAGTTAGAACATTTATACACACACATATATGGTTACGCACATAAAAAGCATACACTACTTTGTAATATCTAATCTTTTAATTCATCATTACATAATTGCCTCTATTATATTACATAATCACTATGCCCTACTGTCATCAATGATAAATAGATATATAGAAAATCATTTGAATCCCAAGTAGTTTATTCATATTTAGTCAATGAATAATTCGTTTAAATTAATTGATCATTCTTATTAATTAAATAATATACTAAAATTTATTTCATTTATATATATATATATATATATATATATATATATATATATATATATATATATATATCAATATTCAATTTATCTTATAGTAGGATAATAATCATATAGAGAAGACTGTTTGTTTTCTTTCCCGATATATTTAAACAATTTGTTTATATGTATTTATTTATGTATCTGTGTAGATTAGGCGCCTTTTTTTTAAAAAAAAAAATATTAAATTAATGTTTTTGTAATTATTAGTCAGCTGATTTAATTATTGAATAAAATTTAATCGCCCCCTCCCTTTTTTTTTAAACAAAAAAAAACAACTATGATCAATTATTGTAATTTTTATATTGATAATTTTCATGTTTCCTTCTTTTTTCTTCTTTTTTTTTTAAACAAAAAAATATCCCGACAACCTTTTATCTTTTTGCCTTAGAAACAAAAAATTCTTTTGTTTTTTAAAAAAAGTTTGTCAAAATATTTTAATCATAATTATATTAGAATTAATGATGGATTTAAAAAAAAATATAAATTTGTTAGAAAAAAAAGATTCTATTTTTGTCTCTTACTATTTGTATGTATGATTAGATATATTATTAATTGAAAAGTGTTGATCATGTATTGAGATCATAAACTGATCTGACAAAAAAACGAAGTATTCAATTGGTATATCGTCGTCGTCGTAGTCGTAGTATATAGATATCCACAATCTTATTGAGAATTATGTATACTGATAATTATCATATTAAATAAAACACGAATTTCAGTGAAGGGATCTCTTTTTGTAAAAGCACTAATTCCGTGAGGAATAGTGAACACAGTTAATAGAAAAGGGTTATAATACTAGATTACGTAATACGAATAATAGTAATAATAATAACAATAGATTTGGTCAATATAACAAGATGTTTTTGTCATAATAATTAAAGGTCAAAGAGGTGTAAAAAACAAATAAGGTGATATGATGAGTATTCACTAATAATACAAGAGAATATAACATATAAGTAAAGGGGGAATGCGGTAATAATAATAATAATAATAGGATAATCAAAATACTTAAGGCCAAAGTAACGATAACGATAAGACGTACTTCTTTTGTACGCATAGTTCTGGTTTAAGCTCCTGGATGGTAAGAGCTTCAACTATTTTTAAAAGTTGGATGCGAAGAAATCTGGGTAGATTTGAACGAATCATATAAACAATCTTAAATTCATTTCTTGAATCAGTGGAATGGTTACAGTCGATTAGGTGTTCAAGTATAGAACTCCTAACTGCTTTGCTTTCCCCCTTATAGAACCAAGCCGGAATATGTTCCCGTATCCGAGTTGAAAGCGAGCGCTGGCTACGGTCATATATATACGATTGTACAGCTTGATAATAAATTCTTTGAAAAGAGATCCCTTCGCTGAAATTCGCGTTTTAATTTTAATGTTTAAATGGGAATTATCTGTCAATTATCATATTGTTACTGGAAATAATTTCAAGAGTTGATCCGTTGAGTTCGATCGTATTGCTTTAAGTGAGTTATTCATTAAAGACAACAGAAGATATTTGTTCGGTATAGTGAGTTCATTGATATTAGATATGTAATCCTTAGGACACTAACTCATTGGTCTAAACAATAACCGTTCACCGAGAAACATGAAGGTTTTAGATTTGTTACTAAAGTCAGCGCGAATCGTGAGCAGTTTGATGAATAGCTGTAATGATGACCACAAACACTTCAAGGTCGATATAACGTCCAAACGACCACTGACCTTCTGTGTTGATAAAAACAGAAAACGTTTTAGATGCGTCTCAGTCTTTTGTTCACCGTCAAAACGAATACTCATGGATCCAATTTTAGGAAAATATGAAATACTAAAGTAGTTATACAGTTTAACTTCTGAAAACTTCCAAGAACTATGAATTATAGAAAACAAGATAGGTCAATAGTACTCCCATAAACAGAGATTATTTTGAATGGAAGTGATTTTGTGAGAAATAAAACTTTGTTACAATTCGTGTATTTAATCAAACTTCAGCAAAAAAAAACTAATAAGAGTAGCATTGTCCGGAATAAACCTATTATTCTTAATGTAGAGTTAAAGATAAGTATAGAATGTTTCGAAATTCACAAGGAATAATCACATTTTTGAGTGATGAACGTCATGTTATTCACCATCGAGTATATATATATATAGACTTCCGGGAAAGCTATGATTGAATCAGTTCTGTGAAAGATTTGTTATGTTTTATAAAAAATGAGTTAAGCATCTGATGTTCTATTTATTCATAATCGACAGAAAGTTGTGCCTGAATTCTATTACTATCAGAAGGAGCTTTTGTAAATATTATAGTAATTTTAATAGTTGAGATCATGAGTCAATTGAAGCTAGACCACCATGGAAAACCTAGAAGCACTGAACGGCCGTTTCGTTAGCGCACGAGATCGACAAATATGTTGTTGTTTGCTGTCATACATTAGGTTTATGCCTTAACTATAAAAAAAATTGAGGTAATTCCAACATCGAAGAACATCCATGGTGCTGAAAACTTCATGTTAAAACCCATAGTAATAATCCTCATTTAAAAAAAAACCATGGAGAAATTATGACTACATACATTTATACTAATATCAAAGAATCATATTAACCCATATTATTTTAGTATAGAGAAGTTATTTATTCTCTGAAGAAGCAGCTTACACCAAGTCACGAAACGTCATATTATTTTACTTTAAAAAATTTGAAAGAAGCATTTTGAATTTGATAAATATTTTAAATCTTCAAAATTTGAAAAAATCGTATATTGTAATTTAGAACAACATAGATATAAGTGAACAATATTGTTTTCGATTAGATCCTCATCAGGCTTTACTTTAATATACAGCAATATTTATATACATATACGAAATTTCTGAACCAATCAAGGCGGTCTATGAGTCAATGATAACAGTGGAATAGAGTACATAGTAAAATATAATAAGTGAAAAGTAGAAATTGGTAGTGTGATGATAGGTTTACTAGTTGCAATAACAATAACAAAGGCTTGAATCAATGTTTTATAATGGGAATTAGGTTAACGGTCAGAATAAAACATTCACAAAAATTATATGATTACGTAATAAGAGATGTTCAGATAATTGGACCGTACAGCGTATATTTGAGGGAAGTAAAAGGTGGGAAGGGGTGAAGAAAACTAAAGCGAAGAAAGTATGGAAAACAATAGTAAATAAGGTCATTTATTAAGGCCAAAGGAGAGATAAATGTGATACGAATTTCTTGTGAACACAAAGACTTGGATTGTTGACTCGAATTCCTATAGCTTCTAAAAAGAGTAACACATACAATCCAGACAATACTTCCCCCTTTTCACTTTATTAAAATAACAAAGTTAACTTCACATATTATTGATGGATAGTAGCTAAAAGTGGAATGCAGGACGTGCGTTTCGTCCTATTTGAGATTCGTCAGATGAATGTACCTGCAACTCAGAGTTGATGTTCACTCTGCGACTCGAACCTAGTACCATTCGCTTCAAACGCCATCGCCTCATCCACTTATCTACTTGGTTCGAGTGCCAGAGTGAACACCAACTCTGAGATGCAGGTACATCCAGCTGACCAGTCTCAAATAGGACGAAACGCACGTCCTGGATTTTACTACTAGTAACTACCCATCATTGCTTACAAAAAGCTTGTGAATTAAGGGAATATCGAGGCATACGCACAGTATGCACATATACTAATAACAGACTGATCAATTGCAGTCTTAAACCTCAATGGGAAGATACAAACCAAATAATACCAAGTGAATTCACATATTATTGTCTACTTGAATCTTCCCACTGATGTTTTAGGACTGAAATTTATCAGTCTCTTATTGGCATATGTACATACTGTGCGTATTGCCTCGATATAGCCTTAATTCACAAGCATTATATGCAAAGATGTCTAGTGAATTTAAATTTCATCCCATTGCACAAGCTGTTTGTTATCATAACTCAATAGCTAAGTGGATAATTCGATGGCATTTAAAGTAAGCGGTAATGGATCCAAGTTCCAGAGTGAACAATAACCCTGACATACAGGTACACCCAGATGACGAGTCCCAAATAGGACGAAACACTTGTCCAGGATTCCACTACTAGTAAATATCCATCATTGCTCATAACAAAATCAACAGTTATTTCCCACTTTATTTCCTCCTTGTTTTTTCTTGTTTAATTTTCAATTTTCTACGAGAAAAAAAGAACTGTTGTGATAAATATTCAATCAAAATAATTATATGGTTTGCAAGATTATTCTTCTACTAATTATCATTAAGTGAATGATATCTTGGTACATAGTATAGGATGATTGACTTTTGAATATACTTACATTCAAATCTATCTAAATGTCGAAATATTAACTTTAGTCAAATCATTTTTAAAAAGGGTTAAGACGCTGTTTTGGAATTGTATCAATGAATGTTGGTGTTTAAGTAAGTATTTTAAGATCGATTATACCGACCTATTTAATGGTATTATAGTGAACGAGAACACAGGCGGCGGGGGTTGGGACAATCGAATGTATTTACACACAAAATTACAATCTCTTAGTAAAATCTGACAAGTATCCAATAAATAGTTCATTTGCAAAATGTCAATCAATAGTTTCAAACTTGACTGTTCCTCCATTTCCATACCAATAATTCTCTATTCTCATCTTCTTTTCTTCGATTTTTCTTTAAATCTTCTGCCGCTAGGCATGTAGTGTCGGTATATTATGCTAAGCCTATGTACCTTATTCTAGCTTTTGGATAGACCATTCTATTCATTCTACTTGAGTCACATTCTGACCTTGTTATTTATTCGCTTATCAATCTTGTCTGTTTTG